GACTTCGATGGACTCCAACTCTTCAGTTATTGCTTTCACCCACTTCGAATCTTTCAATGCCTCAGCTGCATTGATTGGTTCGACATCTGTGTAGAAAGAATAATGTACCAGCTCACCTTCCTCATCGACTACATCATCTGATGTAATTACACATTCTTGCAACCTTGCAGGCATGTGTCTTGTTCGTCGAGGTCTGCTTGAACCTGCTTCATCTACAACTGGTTCCTGTCGAACTTCTATTTCGACTTTAGTGGCTGGTTCTTCACAAGAGATTCTCACTGAATCCTTCTTGGCATTCTCAATCCAATCCCATTCTTTAAGCTCATCTATGATCACGTCCCTGCTGATCACTACCTGCTTATTCACTGGGTTGAACAACTTATAGCCTCCTGTCGAATGATATCCTATCAAGATCATCTGATTCAACTTATCATCAAGCTTCCTTCTCAACTGATCTGACACATGTCTATGTGCTATAGATCTAAACACCTTCAAGTGACTGAGACTAGGCTTGACACCAGACCAACATTCTTTTGGTGTGATTCCTTCAAGCTTCTTCGTCGGACATCTGTTCAATATATATGTTGCTGTCGAAACTGCTTCTCTCAATAATTCTTTAGGTAGATGCTTTCCATTCAACATACTTCTCACCATATTCATGATGGTTCTGTTCTTGCGTTCTGCAATCCCATTTTGCTGTGGAGTGTAGGGTGACACCACCTAATGCACAATCCCTTCTTTTACACATAGTCCTCAAAATTTTCAGCTTTCGACCACTCTGTCTTTCAACCATGGACTTGAATCTGGAAAATACCTCAATCACATCACTTTTCTTCTTGATGAGGTAAGTCCACAACTTTTGACTGTAATCATTTATAAACGTGACAAAGTATCTATTGCCACCAATCGAATCCACCTGGATTGGACCACATACATCAGAGTATATGACTTCAAGTATTGCCTTCGACTTCCTTCCTGCATCCTTACTGAAGCTATTCTTGTGTTGTTTCGACTGAACACACTCCTCACAGAATTCACTTGGAATGTCGATTTCTGGTAATCCTAAAACCATATTTCTTCTCTTCAGTTCTCTGATGTCATTAAAGTTGAGATGACCTAGTCGAAAATGCCATAACCACTCATCTCTGCTGGCTGCAGTTGCTAGACACTTGTGCTCCATCACATTGAGTCCAATCTTGAAGGTCCTATTCTGAGACATTGGAGCCTTCAAGATTAATCTACCACCTGCGTCAAGAACTCTCATCATCTTGTCTTCGACAACTACCTTGTAGTTCTTTTCGACAAGCTGCCCTATACTGAGCAAATTACTCTTCATGCCTGGTATGTACAACACATTGGAAACTGTTGACCTTTTTCCATCTTTCCTCATAATCAGAACATCACCAACACCTTCGGCTGCTAGGGTGTTGTCATTTGCAAACTTCACCGTGTTCTTCGACGAGGGCTTCATGTTGACAAACCAATCTTTCCTTCCAGTCATGTGTGATGAGCATCCTGAGTCCAAGTACCACTGATCTTGGAATCTTTCTTTATCTTTTGTTGTGACCATTAGTAACGTTTCTTCTTCTTCATGTTTCGCCAGCTTTGCATCAGTCTCTTGAATTCTCTTCCTTTCTGTACAATCACTAACATAATGACCATACTTCTGGCAATTGAAACATTGAATGTGACTTTTGTCTGTCTTTCAACCACCACCTCTTCCTTTACCTGCAGCACCACCTCTTTGGTTGCCTTGGTTCCAAGGTTTCTTCTGATTCGAATGGTTTCCTCCTTTGTTGCCATTCCAGCTACCTTTGCCTTTTCTTCCCTTTTCTGACTACGCCTGCAAAGCCATATCTTTCGACTTTCCTGCAGCTCTCTCAGCCATCCTCTGTTCATGAGACTCAAGATTCCCTTGAAGCTCTTCCTTCGTCAATACTGACAGATCTTTCGACTCTTCTATGGCAACTACCACGTGGTCGAATTTTGGAGCCAATGATCTCAAAATCTTTGAGACAACTGCTTTCGTCGTCAGCGCTTCTCCACATACTTTGATTTGATTCACCAACTTTGTAACTCTGGTGAAGAAATCTATAATGCTTTCGCTGTCTTCCATCTGAAGAAACTCATAGATTCTCTTGTGAGTTTGTAACCTCACCTCTTTCACCTTCTCTGCGCCTCCAAACGACTTTTCAAGAATCTCCCATGCTTCTTTTGCTGAATCAACATCACTAACCTTTTCAAAGTTATCAGGATCAACACACTGATGAATTATAAAGAGTGTTTTATAATTCTTCTTCTTCAATTCTTTGTGCGCAACCTTTTCCGCCTCCGTTGCGTTTGTGAACTAAAGATGTGATTCAAATTAATTAATAATTTGATATCCTATTCTCACCGCAACACATAGGGATTGTAAGATATCTAGATGCTAGCCGTTCAATAGTTTAACATTCTAAGTAAAGAGTTTTCAAAATATTTCTTGTTTTGTAACATAAGTTTGTCGCAAAGAGTAAATTAGGGCAATTATGTTTTGATATCCGCTGGCTAAGATTTATTGTTATGGTTTCGTTTTGGGGTTTCCATATGAGAGAGAAGAGTGATAGAATTGTTAAGGTTTTGTTTTGAGAGACACGAGTGAAAGAGTTGTTAGAATTTTATTTTGAAAGAGACATTTGTAGTGTACTGAAGCGATAGATAACTCCACTTATATATAAAGTATCACCTTTCATCACAGTTGTTAATAAAAACTGTGGTGATATATAAGGTAAATAAAATTGTTATCACGATATATGACTAATTTTAGGTGTTGGGATTCAAACCATTTCACCCCGTGTACCTTTTTACCACGGTTGCTTCCTTTGACCTTTGTGACTTGTCCTCTAGTAAATACAAAAAAAAAACGCCTAGAAATAAAGTATTATCACGGTTAACTCTATGGCCATTACGAAATTGGTGTTACAAAAGGTATATTTTGTAGTAGTGCTAACACTGCAAAATTAGACCTAAGTTGAAATCCATGTCGAGACTAACTCCTTCGACATTTCGACAACTACACAGCTCAGACACACTAAATTATTTCGACACTACCTTATTTCTGTCGAGCAACCTGCTTCGACACAAGGAATTACATACTCAACAATTAGTTTTCATCGGACCAATTGCAACTACAATCCTATTCCCTTATCTGACGACCATACCCTCTGGTTCCTAGTCTAGTCGGTTCCATTGGCTGGTCTGGAGCGGATTTTAAAACATTGAACCTAATTCCCAAAAAGAAAAACCTCCAATGACTAGTGTCGTAATCAGTTATGAATGTTCTTAATTGATTAAGAAGTTTTATGCCTTACTCTAATTGATTGATTAAGGATCTTAATCGGTTAGGCAGCGTATACAAGCTTCCTAAATGATTAGAAATATCTTTGATCAATCCCACAAGCACCTTAATTGTTTCTTTATAGGCTTTAAGGCGTTTTAGAAAAATTAGAGAGGTTAAAAGACTTTTAGGTGAGTGTGCGCATTGCCTTAGTAATTTAAGAATGACTCTATTATCTTTACAATATTTCGAACACTTAGACACATGACCAGACGAGCTTTCAAACTTCCTCGGTCTCACAATCTTTGAAATTTCAAGATCTTTTGTTTAATTCATTATTGATTGAACACTTCATATGTGAGTTGACTTCTTATATTTGATGAGGCTTGACATGACTTCTTTGATAGACACCATCACAACGATTGCTTGACTAGATATCAATAGATATTCCATCGAACACCGCTTAACGTTAGGTGTTTTTCTTAGAGAGATTAACTTTGACATCTTGATCTCACAAGCAGAATATCTTGATCATTTTGATCATCACTTTGACCGATAAAGACATCACATTATAATGTTGCCATCATCAAAATCATTGAGATCATCATATTACTGCAGACATTGTATCTGCAAGCACATAGATCCACACAAAACACGTTGAGTTGTATTGTCATCTATATTAGAAAAATCCTAAGTCTCGCATTGGTTAAACATAGAGTTTGAAAAGAATATATATAGAATATCACTTCTCATCTTATAAATTGATTTTTTAAAAATGAATTAGATTAAACTCTAATAATATAGTAAAAGACAGAATTCAAAGCCAAAACTATTCGCCTAATGCTAATTGACTCTAAAAATCAAGTGGCAGCCCTATTAACTAAACCCCTACACCATGGACCCTTCACTACTTAATTATTAAATTGAGAATGATAGACATTCATTCCGGTTTGGGGGATGTTATAGTTTAGGCTTTATTGAGTTTATTATGTAACTGTATTTGTTAGAGAAATTCACTCTAACATACACTTTTCATTTTCATTTGGGTCTCTATGGGTTTAAGCTCATCTTGTAAATTTTGAGATTCTTTTATTTTCTATTTCTGTTTTAATATTTTCTTTTCTTTAATGCATATGTGCATTTTTGCTTTTTATGCCAATAGTTTAACAATAACCTTATAGTCATAGACAAAACAAAGATGGTAGCGACTCCTTCAACCATATCATCACAACCTATTATAATCAAACTTGAGAAAGAAGCTCAAACATTATGAAACAAAGTTATTGAACCAGATTTTTAAAAAAAACTATAGAAAAAACGAACCAGATAATTAAGATAAAAACAAAGTTTGCATCACTGATGCAGTCTTTTTAAGCTAGAACTAGAATATCATGTTACCAAATAATTTTTTCATCTTTGTAATCACTAACTAGCAGCTCCAACTTCCTTCATATCCGCCACGCGATACTCCTAACACGAATTTCATCTGTTATAAGCATTGTAAACATAAACAAATTACAATCAGTTTAAACATCAAAGACGTTTTCACCACAGAAATGTGCCTAAAAAAGCATAACCAATTAATAGCCAGTACAAAACCTGAAATTTCTTGCTTCATAAATATCATGGAACAAATGCATCTACTTATCAAAATCATATTTAATTATATATGCAAAGTGTTTGTTAATTACCGCGAATATTTGCATATATGTCCATGAATCCAATCCTTACCACACTGGTAGCAGAAGTTACATCCGCACCTGAAAACATTGCAGTCATTATAATTAATTGTACAGATTTAATCAAAATTAAAACTAGTTAAAATGATTAAGATATACAACCTGCACGAAATGTGTTCGCATCCACCATTTCTCTGAACATGCATACAACATTTGGGACATTTTTGCCACTTTTTTCTTTTAGCCAATTCCATAAATTTCTCATCCAATTTTTTTTCATCTTCACCCTTTGTCGACTTCTGAAATCTCCGGCAACTCATTTCAGCATGCCATGGAACCTTACATTGTGCACAGAAAAGCCTATGACAAGAAGGACATTCACAACTTGTAACAACTTCTTCCCCGTCATTCACCAACATAACAGAACAGTTCTTATAAGGACAGTAAATCTTTCGCTTCAAAGAAATCGAAGACTCGTAAATTGCATATTCCCATTCATCAATGATTTGTTTAGGTAAAATGGATTGCAAATGTTGTGGTTTGAGTTCCAAAGAACATTCTGGATCCGGACAGTTGAGTTTCACCACATTTTCTTTTCTTTGAAGTTTGACATACTTGGATATGCATTTAGTACAAAAAGGGTGATTGCATAAAGCACTTTTGAAGATTTCCGAGATAATTACAGAATCAAAACATATACCGCATCTTCTTTTTGAGGATTGAGGACTAGTAGTTACTTTGTTCGTCTTCTTGTTCTTTTCATAACCGTCTTCTGAAAGAAATTTTCTGGTGGTTGTGTTTTGCGATTCTTTTGGTGGAAAAGATTGAAGGTGACGACTAGTGGTTGCTTTCTTTCTGTTTTCATCATGGTTGTCTTCTGAAAGAGATTTTCTCTTTGAATTTTGCTTTCGGTTTTCTGAAGGAGAAGGAGTGCATTCGTTTTTCATCGGGAATTTCGTTTTGTTTAATCTATGAAAAGGTTTGCTATAAGATGGTTGCGACGAAAATGTCAGCATCGTTTTGGTTGCAATATTAATAACCGTATTCCGCACGTACTTTCATTTTCTTCCATCGAGTATGAGTGTTTCATGATACTGGAAGTTTGTAAGGTCCGTTTGAGGTGTGGAAGTTTAAAAAATCAAAATTAATTTTAAATATAAACAAAAAATAATTAAATATTATAATTATATGATGTATATATTTAGTAGTAATTTTAAATATAATGATTAAAAATGGTGAGTGCCGTTTAATCCAAGCTAATCATCCAAGCTATGTTAATAGAATTTAGTTAGAGGTAGTTTCTTTGTCCTAGATGTATGGTTCAATTTGTTGACGTGATAGATGACTCAATTTGTTGATGTCATAGATGAAAATTCTTTTCGTCGAGTTTTTGTGAAATTTTGAGCGAAAATCGGAGGTGATTGAATTTTTCTGCAGAGTTTGAAGCTACCTGTGATGGATTCTGTGAAACTTGAGTGGAAGAAGGAGGCGACTGCGCCGGTGGCGGTGTCACGTCACTCTTTTTAAGTTTGGTGCGTGAATATAAACGGTAGGCGGCCAATGGTCCAATCGACAATCTCTGATACTGATTTTACCAGATCAAAAAAGGATAAGCAGCCAACGACAGATTGTGAGCTCCTAATTCGTCGGTGGTGAAGAGGAAGGGGTGTACTTGCAAGTCACTCTGATGCTAAATTCAGTTTCAGCAAGAGAGAGAAGGCAAATATAGAAAAAAGGTGAGAATAGAATACATGACCCTCTAGTGAAAGAGGGTATTTATAATGTGCCCCCAGCGCCGGACTAACGGTTACTTTGCATTGGGTTGGATTGTTAGGCCTAATACGAGTAACTGTCAAGGTCTACGTGGCGTAGAGAATACCAGCACGTGGTCTTCGCCCTAGGTCAACTGCCTCGTAATCTTTGGGAGGTGGGTGACTTGTTCTTTCGGACGTGGGTAGTTGCCTAAAGATGTGTCCCTGCATGGGGGACACGTGGAGTTCGTGGGGGAGACGCGTAAGCGCTCTCCGTGTGATGTGATGAATTGGGACCTCGTTGGGCCCTCCCCAACGGAGAGATGGATTGGGATGTGCCCGACAGGGGGCAGCCTCTGGCCCATTCCAGAACAGGATCCCCCTAAGTCGTTGCTCCGAAGTAGAGGATTAATGACTTAAGAGTTAGTTATAGCATCGAGGACTTGCCCAGAGCCCTGAGCTTGCGGGACAGTGCGCGTGGCCAGGAGTAAGAGCCGCTCGACGGGACAAATTCTCGCGGGGAGACATGTCCGTCAGATGTAGTCCTCGCTCTTCTCCTACCTCCTCGGGGAAACGCTCCCAACATCGTAGGGGCCGGGCATTGTGGCCGATGATGTGACAAAAGGGGAAGGGAACGAGCATGTCTGGTCTCGAGCAGGAGAGGGATTTGAAGGGACATGTGTGGTGTCTTCTAGGGCCAAGTGTTAATAGTAAAAAATACCTAGGGCGGCTATGAGTAGGGGTACTTGAGTGCTTAGTGATGCCTCGTTTCCCGTGCTTGGGTTTATAAATAGGGGGAAAGTCCGCTCCATTTGCACGCTCCCCTCTATTCTACTCAGGAATTTTTCCCTAAATATTTCGAAGCTCTCTCTGCTTTTCAAAGTACATTCGCCATCACAGCCACCATCAGCCTTCCTCTGTCTTCCAGAATCTGCTTCCTTCAAGTAAGTCGTTACAATGAGAATTGGATATCGAGCTATTGATTAACTTGAATCACAAATCTTTGAATATTCACCGCCGAACTTTACATTATCCAAGAAAAGAGAAAAAGATCGTATAAAATCCTAAGTTTGCAATGTAACAACAATGCTAAGAGATCTAAGATTCGCGGGTTGGTTATACCTAGAGAAGGTGTTAGCATCCTAAGCATCTATAGTACTTTATAGGAACCTCTTGAATGTATTTGTGTTATTGTTTTCTATTTGCTTTGAAATGTGTTATGTTTGGGTTTTATTGGTGAGGATAGGAACCTAAGGGTGTATTACTAAGTATTCTCGCCAAAACTTCGCAGTCTTGTGCCTACATATCCTTAAAAGGATGGAATCAGAGCATTTGTAGTTCACCTCTCTAGGTATGGATGAATACTTGATTATTATCAAGATTCAAAGGGGAAGGTAAGTGTTATAGCCTTAACACTTACATGACTTAACAAAGTCAAAAGAGTTATAAATTCTACCCTAAGTCTAAGTTGTAAGACTTAATGACTCTAACAAAGGTCAAAGGGGAATTGGGTATTGCTAAAATTACATATAATATTAAGTCAATGGAGTATTCTTTCCCTTGGATTTGGGGACAAGAGGCAACAAAGGAAGATGAAAATTAACAAGCTAACATCACTTGGGGAATAACTTGACAAAGTTAAAATTAAGTATGAACAAGGGATGAGATGAACAAGGATGATATTCAAACATGATATCAATTGTAAATGACAAAGGTAACATTCAAACATGCTGTTAATCAATGAGTCAAACAAAGTACGACAATGTTTAAAGTGAGTATAGTAACAACCAAAGCATTAGGGTAGAGTGACAACATTTAAAAAAAAAGACTTAACAAAGTCACAAAAGATCAAGGTAACAACCAATGAACACATTCAAAGTTTAATGAAGTTAAAAATCAACATGGTAACAACCAAGGTAAGTACACACAAGCAAAGATGTTACAATACTTAAACATACATGAGCTATAGTTCTAACAAGACTAAAGCATCATGGATGTGATCAAGCATTCAAATCAATCATGGATATAACAAAATTAACATGGTATCATGGATGACAAGTTCAAGTACACAACTTAAGATGAGCATGGATTAGGGTATACTAACACCACTTAATCATTAATACAAGAGAAGTATGGACAAGTTGTAACAAACACTAAATCATGAGTTCGATATGGACAAGTTGTAACAACACTTAAACATGGATAAGATGAAGTAAAACATGTATAAGTCGAAACATCACTTAACATAGTATCATTAAAAGTTCACTGTATAAGCATACAAAATTTCAAAGGCATATAAACATGTACACATGCCTTAAAGTGTATCAAAATTAAACCAAAACTAAGAGGTACGTGTTAACAACAAAAAACAAGGTTCATACAAGGTGTATATCATTCATACAAGTCATGGTAATCAAGAAAAATTAAAGAATCAACCAAAGAAATGCATTTGAAACCCTAAAAAAAACTTAAGAAGATACCTAATTTGAACAAGCATAAGTGCATGAAAAATTATTCAATTCTGGAATTTCTTTACATCATCATAAAATAGGAAAAATTATGAACACTTAGCCAAAAGAGTGCCTCAAAAAGGCTTAGGGAACACAAATTTATAGGTCTTCAAAGTTGTGAAGAAAATGAAAATAAAAAAGTGGTAAAAAAAAAATAAAAAGAAAGAGGTTTCTGGAAAAACTTTAGAAAGACACAGAGAGGACTTTAGAAAAACATCAGAAGAAAATGTCGTATCTGGAAGAACATCAGAAAGACACAAAGAGGTTTCTGGAAAGAACATCAGAAGAAAAGGTCGTTTCTGGAAGAACATTAGAAAGACACAAAGAGGTTTTTGGAAAAACATCAGAAGCAAAGGTCGTTTCTAGAAGAACATCAGAAAGACACAAAGAGGTTTCTGAAAAAACATCATAAGCAAAAGTTGTTTCTAGAAGAACATCAGAAAGGCACAATGAGGTTTCTGGAAAAATATCAGAAGCAAAGGTCGTTTCTGGAAGAACATCAGAAAGATACAAAGAGGTTTCTGGAAAAACATCAGAAGCAAAGGTCATTTTTGGAAGAACATCAGAAAGACACAAAGAGGTTTCTGGAAAAATATCAGAAGTAAAGGTCGTTTCTGGAAGAACATCAGAAAGACACAAAGAAACTAAAACTGCACCTTAAAGCTTCTACCAAACTTTCTCCTACCATAACTTCTTCATTTTTTAAAGAAATTAAAATATATAAAAAAAGCAAATTGCTTGGAAAAACCCCAGGAATTCAATGGTATTATTTTCACATCCTAAAACTCAATGGCTAGGGTATACCAAGGTAAAAACCAGAACTGAACCATAAGGTTCAAACATCATAAACTCCACATACAAGCATGACATAATGCAAACAGTTAAAGGGTCATACTTAGCACATTAATACCTACTTTTTTTTTGCTTTAGGAATCAATCAATAATGATGCATAAATAGGGAGTTCCAAAGTGTAAGCGCCTTACCTGTTGAAGCAAGGTATAATGCCTCTTCTTAAGTCTTTTAAAAGCAAGATAATGATTCCCCTTAGCCTTCTTGAACCCTAAGGAGAGAGTTTAAATGCTTGATTTGTTCTGCAACTGCTTGTAATCCTTCACACAGTTCTTCTTGCAAATGAAGGAAGTGAAGTATGGTGGATGGTGGTATTAATGTTACAAAAATTGTTTAAGAGTTTAAACAAGTTCTAATGAATGTTTAGAAGATGCTTGGATGGTTGGTTTAAGGAATGCACGAGCAAAATAAGTTTTTGAAATTTTAGGTTTTTGAAGTTTTGCTACAAAGGTGGTTTCTTGAAAATCTTGGTATGTGTTGTATTATGGCTTATATCTCTATTTATATAGACTTCAAGTGGTCTTGGTAACTTGCAGAAGTTGCATTTAGTTAACTTTGAATGATAGTTTGGATGCTTGGTTTTATTTTGCACAAAAAAAATCACATTTGATCATGATGGAAAAGGTGGAGTAAAGGAGGAGAATAGAAATGCTTTTGAGTGGTATAAAGGTTGATTACAATCACTAAAGATAGTTTGTATACAGAAGAAACATCTTGGAAGCTCAATGCAAGAGTCTTTGAAAAAGTGGATCTTTATGAAAATGGATATGGAGCTTTTTTGCAAAATGTTCCATAAATGGAAATGAGAATTGGTTAATGGCTCAATTCCATATGTA